TATATATATCGAGTAACATGTCTATCCCCGTTGACAAGATACGCGTTTTACATGAATTAGGATCATCAAGCATACCGGTGCATCAAACTCCTTTGTGGAGTTGGAATCGAAAAACGAGTGGATCAACACCTGCGCGACGTTCACAGCTTCCTTCGGCCTACCGACAGTTTGTTGCAAAGGGTTAAAGATTAATATACAAAACACGCATCGACAATATGAAACGCTGGTAGCAGCAAGTATGGTGACATAGCACCCAACTCGCATTGTGTAGCAGAATAAGATTGTGCGCAACGTGGTGTTTCTATCGCATGTTATGTAATGAGAAATCATCTGGCATCTCGAATGTGCTGTGTGCTTGGTGGGCACATTACTGTATTGTGGTACGTTTGTACGGGAGGCTGTCACGTACACCAGAGTACACTTCTCAAATGAGCCAAGACAGAGGAACTACCGATCGCAACACTGGGTATTCGAACGACCGGATAGCACAGCCAAAATACGTAACACATCTCCTCGTTCGATATCGAATAAGAGTGAAATTGGGCCAGGAAGACGGCAAAGCACATACAGCAGGCAACACAATAGATAGTATAAATGGAGTAACCAAACTAGGGTGTGTATCAAACACGGAGCAGGCCATAAAAGATTCACAGATGAGGTGCCTCAGTGCCAATGTAGCGTCAATTGGGAGTGAGATTTAGCGGACACAGACAGCTGAATGCGGAGCAGGATGGTTTGGAATGACAATCCAGGCCTCCTCTCAAGTAGGAATAAGAATATATATATATATCTAAACGATACAAGCAATGCTGAGTAGGAATAGCCTATACGACAGTGACCCATTGGGGTATTGGCATATGTATCAGCTACCAACAAACAGACAATACCTAGATATGGTGGTTATAGATGATCACACGACGTTCTTGATGCCAAGTTTGCAGTAGATTGGTTCGGGCCGTGACAAGTTTGATTGATGCATGGCGACATAACGAGTACGACATATGCCAACACATACATGAATCTGAATCACATTCGAGCACAACTACACGCTTGGTTTACTACTAGCGGTGCAAGAATTTCAGATAGATTAAGAACTCCGACAAACCACCCAAGCGTATTCGAAAGTAGAACTTGGACCGTCGCATATACGTATATGTACATTAAAACCCTATGCCCTCCCGATTCGATTGAAACCGAAAAGTACACGCGGACTTCCTATGAAACAAATATAACGTTGATACCTTGAATCAGTGGTGCAACTACGAAAGTATATGTACCCCCGATGTAAGCACTGACCACGAGGGTTGACAATCTCCAGTGTTATTAATTAATCTTTCACTGGATTTTGTATCGTAAACATGCAACCGCACATTCCGTGCACAAGAATCTAAAAGTCATATAGTATATACAGAAGACTGCTAGTACAGTGTCTTCTAAGTCTTACACGAATTATACTATCGCTAGCAATGTTCAATTGGAACAGTATAATCAGTGCGGGAAGGCACCGAATGAGTAGCATAAAGTAGTCGATCTGTAACTGCCCTTATTGCTTGACGTGAATTGCAGCCCTACAATAAAGTTATGAATGGTATTGCTATAAATAGTCATAATCGTAGAAGACAGCTATGAATGAACATGTCCCCAGGCAGGTGGTGAATATACATAATACCATTCTCCTATCTTATCGTAGTGTTCTACGGGTATACAATGCCAAGCGGCAATTTTTTGTCGCCGATGCCTTCTGTCATCTCTTATTCCAATATGAAACTAATAACCTAGTACATGCTTTTCGAATGAAACTTGTTGCGAGATCAAACCCATACAAGTATCCAATACGCGCCGTAAGATTAGCAAACGGAAAGGAGAACACCAAGTCTGTGTTTACATGGTGTATAGTTCGTATTTCACTCGAAGCAAGACTGAAAGGTTGATGGCCAGTTTAATGTCACACACACACATGGAAGACAGCATAGAGGCATTGATACTTACAGGCGTAGTTTACGGCCTATATGTCCAGCAAAGTCGATAGCCTTCACGATATCCCGGCTCATACTAATCAAACGTTGCACGAAGTATGCTTGGGGTGATAGCGGATAATAGCTCTATGAGACATAAGTACGTCAATTTTGTGTATCACACCACAAAGACTGTCATTCGACAATATCTATGAAACTCTGAAACCCGAAAACCCTAAAACTTGCTTCAGTTCGATGCGAGTAGTGTTCGAACCGAAGCGTGTAAATAGTGCAGGGTCTACTAGCTATGTTGATGTATATGCAATGGTCAATGTTCGCGGTTTTCTATGAGGCATTCTTGGCAAGACGAGAAAGAAGTATGCGATTCGTATCTGATACTAACAATCTAACTAGTTCATCGAAGTGTGTTACTTTCTGCTATGTGTATGTATGTGTGAAGTAAACAGATACTTGACATGATTAGGTACTTTGCCATGGTCGCCAGTCACTTCATCAGTACGAAAATCTGGTGCGAGTATATAGTGTAAAAATAGCATAGGGCGGCGTTAAATGATCTTTAGCTCACTGCCTAGGCTGAAGCTAAGCTACTTTCTTTTATATTTCAACCTACTTAACATCACGAATATGGTCATCCTGTTTACGCCAGCTTTGCAGTAACGTCAGGTCGTTGTTTTAAACTTCTCGCGTTTGCTAGTGGTAGAGAAGATTGTTGCCAGCTTCATATTTGGTTTGGAAATCTGTGATATCTTCTAATAGAGGTCATGATCTATGTTGTGCAGATGGCGTGATTGATGTTTGAGCATTTGATTGGCGATTGTATCTCTGTCAGAAAGAAATACTTCGTCTTCATAGGAATTCAATGCTAACAAAAAAAAAGGTACAGTACATAACTGGTTTATGTGCCGGATTAGTCGCTGCAAGTGAATTTGCGAATTCAAGTGCTCGGACGAAGACATAGCCATATATATCCTCTGTTTCCGTTCAATCTTGAACATAGGTGCGCATGAATTTTAACGTAGATCAGCCTATGTGTTTCTTCTGGCCTGTTCACGCTTTAAACCCGAATCTGTAAGAGAGCATACATTTTACTGTCAGTCTTCAATTTATAAGGAGTGTTATTACAAACATTGAAGTTTGATAGATATTTGACTAGCAATTCTAAATCCACTGCAGGCCATATTTCAGAGCTATCTATACATCTCAAAAGAATCTTGGGTCAGTACTATATGTACGAATCAACGTCTCAATCTTAGCCTACCTCCGAGTTTATTTGTAAAAATCGAGTAGACAGATAATCATTAAACACACCACTTATGAAAGAATTATCATGTTCACGTGATCTGAATTAATGCGTCTTACAAAACCCAACAAGTGCAGCAGTAGTATTCTTCATTTCTTGTTTAGTGTGTCTTGACGTGCTGTAGTAAAGTAATGTATCGACATTCTGTGTAAATAATTTCAATGTTGACCCATATGCATCAGCAGTAAGTTAATATAAGAGAATCAAGAATTGCTTCATCACAAAACTCATTCAGGCCGCCTCAGTTGTTGCAACAGATCACAAAGTGCCATATCAGTAGAAATTCCGAGTGCAAATATGTATTCCTATGGCGCAAACATTCTCGATGCAAGTCGGGGTAACCTTGAAATCTTTCTGTATACTTCTGATGGAGCTGACCCAATGACAATACGTATTACTGTCGTCTTCTGCCGTTTTGTCCTTGTAGCTTTGAGTCACCTTCCGGTTTCAACTGCCTGAAAGTCTGGGTCCCGTGTGTTATAGATTTGTCGTACCGGTTGCGGCCTTACCTTGAGGCGTAGCTGGACCAACTTTGATGTAGTGTGGATGGTGACGCGCTTCGATGATCAGATCCTTTCAAATTTGTATCTCGCTGGAACTTGCTTGTTGTGTGAGAATGGTGATGTGTCTGTCGAGTTGACGAAAGTCATATTCGTTAAGGAATTTCTCATTCTGGGGTCGGTAGTCGCATGGAAGGCTTATCTTCGTCAGTTGCTCAGGGACATAGGGGAATGAGGAAGCTACAGGATGCTTGTCACTTGCTCTGTAGTGGTTGTACGTAATTGTGAAGAGGAGCGATACCGATAACAGCTCTAAAAGCGCTGTTATTGCGTTGTGGTTGGCCACTGCCAGAATCGCTGCGGTCTCTCTTATTTCAGTAACCAGAGTCGCTGGTACGGCCGAGGGATAATTCACGAGGTCGGCTGCGGGCAGGGGTAATTCTAGCTGTATATGCTGCTGCCTGAGTTTGCCGTACATATCGAAGGCCTGAAATATGTCCTCATTCAATTCAGCAGTATACGCAGTGGTGATGGACGCTCGCAGGGCTATCCGAAGTTCTTTGAGAGATGCGTACATTTCAAGAAGAGCCTTGTGCCAGACCGTGATCAAGGTTTCTCGAACATCGATAGACGTATGTACACGTGGGTGGCATTAATGCCTGAATATGGAACATTCTTTGCTTATCAGCACCTCGATGGGTGTGGATATTGTGGGCTATTGCTTCCCATGTGATAAGGGCCTTCACAAGGTGTTGGAAACAGGACGAGTCGTTGCGGTGCGAGGTAAGAGTATCGAGGCGTGCCTGTCCCACATGCACGCCGAAGATCGGAAAGTAGCGTGGGAACCAGTAACTCTGGGGGTGAAAATAAATGTACATATGCATAGTGCTGTGTTTTAGGCGCCAGCCTCTAAGTGCTGTAGCGATGAAGTCGTCTTCATGTTCTATGAGCGTCCCATCCAACTGAACTACATCGCTGGCAACACAAAGTTGCAGTCAATTGGAGCCTTAAAGGTCCGTAAAGGTGAAGAGTGTGGTTCGGCTATGGGTAGATGGAGATCACGTCCTCGTGTAGGTGCACGAGTAGTGCCGTTGCTAAGCGTGCACGTGTGTGTCACGCTGGTAGGCGAGATCCGTGTTGGTTGGTGCCGTGTGATCTCGGAATCGACTATGGACGTGTTCGTGCGACCCTATGTTCGGTGCGCGGGTAGTGACTTTGCTAAGCGTGCACGTGCATTTCGCGCTGGTAGGCGAGATTGTGAGCCTGTCGTGTGCGCACGATGACGTAACAAGCGGTGTCGAGAGCGATTACAGTCGCTTGGTAAGCGTGGGCGTTTGGGACGCATCTGGTATAGCATTCGATTATCCGTGGTGGTGTCTGGGGAGCGAAGAAAATGGCTGAAGTCAAAATCAGAAATGATCGAGGGGGTATTATTCGTATTTGGCTTCGCTGGCATTTATGAGGTCTTGCCCCTTTACCAGAATCAGCAGACTTAAGCACGCTGTTTCCTGTTGTGTACCTTGTCTCGGTAAGTGCTGCTGTGGTTGGACAAAATTTTCTGCCAGGCGATAAACGAAGGATCGATAGAACGCCATTTTTTGGGTTTCGTACGGTCGTCGCGGTAGTGCGCTGTTTTCAGGGGTTTTGCCTGGTCAATGAGTTCAGACACGTTCTCCGGCCAGCATAAATAAGTCGATGCGCCGTAGTGTGCAATCAAGTAGCGTTCAATGAGTGCCACATTCGCGCCAACGCCGAGTTCCGCCATCATCCTAATTTGAATGGCCGGATCGACATGACGCAGTAGAAAAACAACTCGAGGGTCTTCTGCCAGAAAGCAGGTGCACCTTCTGAGAATTTTATATTCTCCCATAGAGAAGATGAGGATGGGCTTCCAGCCGTGATAGGTAGGGAGGGACTTAGCAGCCGAGGTTGAACTATGCGGACAAAGTACCCTAGGCGGATATTTAGGACCGGTCTTGAGGACCGGACCTGAGAGAGGAATTTGGGACCGGACCAGAGGACCGGACCGATTAGTGGAATAAAGAATTTAATGAGATAGAAGTGATGACTCATTCAAAACCATAGAGACGGGTATTTTCACCTAACCCAATGGTAGAGAAAGTCTCGTTCCACATAGGAATAATATTATTTATTTCAAAAATGGCTAGTATGTATGATAGAATGTATGAACATATGGTATGAGTCGACAATGGAAGATGTGTGCTGAGTCAATTCGGGCCGGTGTTGACAAAACACTGTTACTATCATCGTGTTTAATATATATAGCAATCGGACTGAGTTCACTTATTTCCGACTTGACACTATTTATTAAGTGTTACTTGGTTTTGACCTCAACTATGCTGTGAGAAACTAACCATGGTGTGGTAGCTGGATATTCAGGGAGAAATTAAATAAATTGATTATAAGATTTGGTCTAGGGTTTCTAGTTGTTCCAGGTTGGCTAGTAGAGCTTAGTCGTAATAAACTCAAGTTACACGCTGTTTATTGTTGTGGAATTAAGCTGGATGGTTTAGCCTCGCCAGAACCAGTAAACAAAAGGACCGGTACAAGGACCGACTCAGTTGTCATAATCAATCGAGTGACATGTGCCATGGTTGTCCTCGATGCTCGATGATAGTATCCTGGATTTGCTATCACTGTCCGCTACTACAAGTTATAATAAACTATTATTTTATGTACCTGAATCGTTCTGGCTACGTGTAGGCCTGACGTGTATACCAAAATAATCGTATAATATTGGCGACAAACCTATAATATTTTTGGCAGCAATTTCTTGCAGTACAAAGTTGCATCTGAATAGCCTATTTCGACAGAACAAATACTTCCCAAGCTGCGTGTGTCTGTCAATACATTGCTTGAGAACTATCCTTGTCTAAACCCCAGGCTATAGTACTGCGAGGTCAGTGGGTTCTGTACTGAAGAGTCGGGCAATGGTATCTCTGAGCCACCCAGGGACGAACTCATGTCCAGCAAATTGCAAAGTTGGCGCAATAACCGACTGATAAGAATGCCCAACACGAGAGATTGTTTTCCCTGATCGAATTCTTATGGAGGACCTAATGACGGACCGTTGTGGACAATCTTTGGAAATAGTACAGGGAGTATGAGCTCAACTTTGCAATTGCAAAGTATGAAGGTTGTATAAAAACGGCCTCTGGCTAGTCTAAAAAATTAAAATTTCAAGTCAAATAAAATTACAATCACTGTTGTAGATCGCATCTTGAAAGTTTAATTTAGTAAATAGAAAACGTACCCGTAAACTCGTACTAAAGCTCAAGAACACTCCAAACTTGTTATAAACTCATGAAACAACTTGATAATGCTAAACTTACAATTAATGAAAGATAATGTCCACTTACTTGGTTACAAAGTGTCTGCAGCAGGGGTAGAGATTGGTCTGGCAAAAACAAGTTTTGTTCAACTTGTCAACACCGATCACGGGAAGAGATATAACTCTGTGAGTGGGTTTGTTAGCTCTTTAAGATTTCAGTGCCTCTCCTTTCCTGCTACCTCAAACCTTTATGACATTTAAGACCTTACAATGGACCTTTGGAAATGTTATGGATTAAAAAAATTGACAAATCATTCAAACTAGTCAAAAGTAAAGTAAAGGCTGCACAAATCGTTTGATACTCAATAGATGGCATTTCATTCTAAGTAGCAATCGACGCCACAGATCGAGCGGTTCTATATTAAACCATAGTGTACTTTATCATACTATAATTGTACTATATCAAACCACGCTAGATATAACTCTTTAGTAAAAAATATACCAGAAGTCAACGGAACTACCCAACCGTTAAACAAGAACTACTTGCTATTGTTACAGCGTTAAGCCAATGTAAATATTTCCTAAAAGGAAGCTACTTTACTTCTGCGTGTGATCAATAGTCTTTAACATACTTATAAGACATGAACCCAGATCCGCAGTTGCTGAGCCGCTGGCATGTTGTGATTGCCAAGTTTGCCTTTAATATTACACACATACTAGGATAACAAGACTGTTTCTGTCATGCTCTTACGACTTGTTCCTGACTTCTAGGAAACAGTCAAAGAAATATTTGCTGCTGATTGGATGCTGAAAAAGAAACGATTCCGCCTCGCTCATTCGTGTTGTGGTCTATTTACAGTTGATACATTTGCTGCCGAACCTAACCAACAAGAATCCAAATATAGATCGTAAACACACCCTGAAAGTGATGCGTTTCAGCTCGACCTAACAAACTCGCAATGGCTAGTTAACAAGAGTAGATTGTTTGAGTATCTTTTCAATTGGTTTGTAACTCCCGATTGTTCTTTGAGCAACGCTTTAAGTAATTGAGTGAGTGGCTCCAGAACTTGAGTCTTCCACGGCCCAAGCTAGCTCCATATTTTTAGTGGCAACACAACGCTATGATGTGTTTATTTATATTAACACATTCTAACAGCTGGAATATTAAAAAGGATGAAAAGTAAAAAGTCAGTTGCAAGTCATACATATTCTGTTTCGTGCTTTTCAACTCTGAGATCTGAAAGCCACTGCCACGTCGAAAAGAATACCTAACTGTCAATTTGGAGTCTTTAATTGTGTATTATTCTAAGTGTGAATTTAGAACAAACCTGAACAAAGCGTCCCAATGACGATTGAACTCCGGCAACAGTGACTTCTTAGCACGTCTTTTCGTATTAAGGTTGCCATCATCCTGGTAAGCCATGAACGTCCCGATATTCTTATATGTGGTAATCATGTAGTTCTGCATTTTGTAGAATTTATTTTACATTTTTCTTATAGACAACGAACTGTCCTTGTAGAAGTGAGACACTTCCGATTATTTTAGTAGAGGAGCAGCTTATTGTAGGAAGCTGTCGAACCACACGCAGACTGAATCGTTGCGTTGCGTATATGTTCCACCATGTCCCTTTCTAAAGACAATGTGTTTGTAAGCGGTATAATCGGTCATCAACCATGTTGTATTCGGTTGTCAGCTATATTCCTTAGTGCGTGTATATTGTTTTCGTGGGTTCTTTCAGGCAATGTATACAGAACTCATTCATTACTCTCTCTTTTTTGTTTTACCATTAACCCAGAATTCTGCACACTTCTTTGTCTCGACTGCCTGCAACACTAGTGAAATGGTATTTTCGGTTTGGTGGTTGTACATATTTCTTAAGTTTATGTTTCACAAGCATATCGTTCATATACCTAAGGTTCTTTTCATTGTATACTGCTAAGTTGCATAGGTCCATAAGTTCCTAGAGTTCGGCTGGCGACTTGTTTTGATAGCCGTGGACTCTCCAGGAGTTTGATGTTGTATTCGGGTGGATTATATCAAGATTGTGGTCCAAATATCTGTCCAATGTCAATGTTAGCACATGTTTCTTCATTTCGCGGAACAAAGAGCATCACTGAATAACTGATCCTGGGAAGTTGGAGTGTGGATTTAGGTGAATGAAAAGCCTGGTCCCATACTATCACAATTACGTTGTCTGTAAATGATTGCAATGAAGAAGTCGACCGTAGACGTTTCGAACAGTGAGCGCATCATCGCCTCAGTTGACATGCAATAATAGTGTAAGAGTACTTTCTGCAAAAAAAAAATTTGTCGCCTGAATGTCACCTGCTGAAAGTCAAAAGTGGCAAGGTTTATTGATTTCGCGCGAAAGTTCCGTTTTATATCATTGCAGGTCTTGAACCCATGTTCACATGAGCATTATTTTTCTCCTTGCAATACGACTCGATCACAGGGCCAGTCCACTCTCGCTTGGATCATATCTCCCGAGCGATACCCATTGATGGAGCATTGTGAATACAAGCGACCACCTTGTTTGGGCAGTTCGTAGAGTTGCAATTGCTCGGTTACATGTGTGTTATATAGGAAAGTTTGTCTTTGTGTTGAAAGTGCCTTCTAGAACACGTAGATATTTGTGGACGTGACGCATCACCTGATTGGCGTTTTGCACGACGGCAACGGTTTTTCAGTTCCTGACAACACCTAGATTCCGAATAATCACGATTTAGCCAGATCCCTGTACGAAACGAAAGCTCGGGTCAGTACTGACTGGCTGTGTAGATCTCTAACCCTGACAAGGGCGTCTATACGGCTGAACACATCTACCGTAACTAACATACCCTTGGTGTTTAGGCTACAATCGTACTAGTAGCTCCACTTTATTTGGTAGAGAAACAGAGGAGCACCAGCGCAAATCCCAAGATGGTTGAATTTTGAGGACAGTAAAAAAAAGGGTTTGTACCGAATCTCATAGTATTAAAACCCTAAAAACATGGAAATACAATGTGGAATATGTAAAAAAGGATCTGTAGTATAATATTTGCATTTTAAATGATCTAGACTGTGTCTAATTTTAGTCCCGGTTATATAGTCGCTCACCACACCCACGCCTGTCTCCACACGAACAGATATCGACTTCCCCGTTATCAACCACCTTATCCTCTCTGACTCCGACCGATCCCCTACGCAACTCTCCCTGACTCTGACCAATTTACATTCTATTTTTACGCTCGCATACGTATGGATACCCGATGTTCAAAATAATGTCCTTCACTGGACTAACATTCCGTTTGTAGTGCTTTTCGAAACCACACTTGATCCGAATTCGAATACGTCACTACCTATTGCACAGCCTGTCTTTTGGTCCGGCGGCTTCCTCGCTCAATACTACCTAGATGTAGTTTCAGTACCCCGTCACGTAGTATTTTCCAACTCTCAGGCTCTATCGGTATAAAATTCGATAAAAAAAAGGGGGAGTTGGGGTCTGCAACACCAACTGGGGATGTCTTTTGTTTCTTAGATTTTGACCCGCGTGCATTAGGTTCATTTTTGAAGAACCGATAGAAGTATCTGCCAAAAACCAGGGCGGCCTCGACCATGTCGACGATCACAGTGACTAGGATTTTAAATTGGGGTGATAGGCGCACGATAAAACGCAGATTTACAACTATTTGAGTTTGCTGAGAGTTAGTCATTCAAGTATACGCTTCGCCTATAGATGAGCGCTTAGATATCACGAATTTGAGTACAGGTGGTAGATCTATTTACAAGCTTAACCCGAATCGAATGATTTATCCCATGCAAAAATTGTATCTCAATTTGCACCAGCTCCCCGTGCTCTATATTCCGTCGTCTGTCAAGTAAAATATTTTTTTACCTGTACCTATTGTTTGAATTCTATGGCATTGGATATAGCCTTCGCCAGTAATATTCCTGCCCTTAATACGCGAATATCCATAACGCCTTCCCACATTGTAGATAGACTGGATATGTAGATGAAGGATCTCTGTAGTCGTACCTCTATACGTAATCGACAACTGCTACCATTCTCCTCATTGAAACATTGTGCAATTAAACAAGTGTACAACGGAATTTGTGAAACCCTAGGTCTTACGGACTTTAGTCCGTTGTGGTATTTTTCTTCTTCTTTTTTTCTCCAGACGGCATGACCCTAGTGGATAAGCTTCAAAACTGCAATGCTGAGGTATGACCCGGTTTCATCAAAAATTCGATTGCACCGAAGTGGGATGGCAGCAGGATATATGGGTCGGATGGTCTTTTGAACTCGACGAATGTAACAAGCGGAGATGATCAAACGGCCCACTTTCGAGTGATCCTGGAACTTCATCTGCACATATACACGGGTGACGTTGCTGAGTAGCTGTCTAGCCGTACAATCCAGTACCTGTGACATATGTACCGAAATTTCAGAATGTAGAAGTGTACGTCGATCAGATCTAAGTTTGTGACCGTGATGCTTCATCTCAACACAAAAAAACCCTTCATAGACTGTGATGCCGGTCCTAATACCAACGTTCGGAGAGCTACTACAGCCGGCAGCACAGCGCATTTTGCTCTAAATTACCTCGGCAGTGTCGAAAACTATTATAAAAAGTTCAATGATATAATACATATAAAAACCAATAGAAAAACTTCACAGGTAAGATATATATATATGAACTAAGTACAAAGGTAAAATGTATCAAACGATATCTACCTTCGAAACCACGCTCCGGGGAACCTTGTCTCATCGACGCTAGGATAGCTCTCTGTAGGTCATCTTCGTCCTCTTCTAACGCCAAGTCTACTTTCACCTCAAGCTGCGCACCCGACGGCACACGCGCACTCTGCATCGTTTCATCGTTCGTCAACTCCACACCGTTATAGTACAAGTGCTGGTCATTAGGAGCGCTCAGAAACCACTCATTCATGATGGACAACTATGATATAGTAAGAGGTTGTAGCGAAAGTGTACGTGTGAGTACACATTTGTAGAGTGTCATTGTTGGTTGGCTAAGTCCCGTCTGTTATAGAAGAGGTGCTGGTCATTTGGACCGCTCAGAAACCACTCATTCATGATGGACAACTAGGATATAGCAGGAGGTTGTAGCGAAAGTGTACGTGTGAGTACAAATTGGCAGAGTGTCATTGTTGGTTGGTTAAGTCCCGTCTGTTTTAGTATAGGTGCTGGTCATTTGGAGCGCTCAGAAACCACCTATTCATGATGGACAACTAGGATATAACAAGAGGTTGTAGCGAAAGTGTACGTGTGAGTACAAATTGGCAGCAAGGCATTGTTGATCAAAGCACTGACCGTTATAGAGTATATGCTAACCACAACTTCATGACCGGACGATAGTTCATGCGGGACTGAAGTGATAGTGTACGTGTGAGTACCAACGTACAGTGTGGTGTAACATTTATCAACTCTCGAACGTTGTAGTAGAGATGCTGACCACTGCAAGCGCAGGAGTCACTTGTTCATCCTGGAGAGCTAACTGTCACGTTTGGCGTCTCATGCGATATTGGAATATAGGGCTTTTAGGGTTATAGGGTTTAGGGTTTAGCTAAACCCCAATCCCCAAAAAGCGCGCGTGAGTGTCAGTGCAGATTCGAAATGCCGCCACTGCGCATGCAGATCGGCGATGCTTCAGCATGATTTGTACTTCCAGGAAGACAGGGGGCGATTTGGTATGTATGACATATTAGGCGAGTGGGTTCGCTGGAATTCAATAACTAATTCCGTTGCGATCAACCAAGGAACGTACGTCACACTGATATACCTATAAGCCTGAGAAGTAGAATCGCTTGTCGAGGATCACATTATTCTAACAAAATATCTAACTGTGCACACCTACACGGAGGTTAGGCAGTCCCTGCTGCACTCTTTATACATATATTTAGACAACATTCCTCCCGATCAGGGCATGTGATGAACTCCTGATTCGGGAACAAAGCATTATAACGAGATTGCGCACACACGCTTCATACAAATAACTTGCGCATATGCACCAACTGGCACTATCCCTGCATGGATGATCACAACAACACATACCTTCAACTCCATCACTGTTGTGTTATAGAAAATATGGAACGATTTCAGTTTTTCCACTTCGGATACTGCCTTGATGCTAGCAAGCCGATCACGAGACGACCGCCTCACATCTCCGGGAGCACTTCTGTTGTTTGCTTCCATCTTTTCCTGGGCGGTACTTACTGTTTGGATGGATATATACGTGTATGCATAT